GTTAACTTGAATTTCATTATTTTAGTTTTAATATCTTTTTTAATATTCTTAAAATTTAATTTTTATTAGCTTAATACGATGGTTGATATACAAGTTGTATAACATCGTATAATGATAAAATCTATATATTATATAATAAAAAATATGAAAAAAAATAATAATAATATTTATCCAACAATATTATAACAATACACTCATTTCATGTATTGATGTACATAATATGTACATATTATGTTATGTGTCAGGGCTACCGCGGACCCCTAGAGGGCAGTGGACCACAGGTTAAAAACCACTGCTCCATACAGTATTCAATCACCGAATAGCAGAATAGCAATTAATACACGTCATTTGTCGCCTAGATCTTATCTTTAATTACAGGGCGACGACGATATTTTGGCAAAAATTAATATATTTTCAATTATTTTATTATTTTATTTAATGTATATACATTTTTTATGTTTGATTTTGTTATTTGTTTATCATTTCATTTGAGGATTTGAAGTTGAAATATTAATTATATTGAAATTTATGTATCTACAATGGAAAACCGATAAAAATCATATAATATTGTAATATATTGTATTATATCATTGATTAGTAATACAGTAAAACCTCGATAAGATGGAACTTTGATAACACGGAAACCTCGGTATAACGGAACATTTTTTTGGTCCCGTTTCAAATTACATACAATTAACTAACCCCGTCAAGACGGAAACCTCGTTAACATGGAAAAATATTATGGTCCCAAGCGATTTCGTCTTATCGAGGTTTTTATGTATATAATCAATGATTATACATACCATTACGAGTTTGGATGGTATATTAGAGTTTCAAGGTTTGAAAAATTTTCTTACACTGACATTTTTTTTTTTTTTTATAGGGTTTTCATAGTTTGTTGATGTTGATGTTTTGATTATACGCGTGGACATTTTTTTATTAGCTCAGAGAATAGAATATATCTTAAAATATTTACTGCCGAATAGTATTATATAGCGCTCTCTATTTACGAAGTCAAATCACGTCGTTCTGCCGTAAAATACGACACGGTGAACTGATAGATAGCAGTGATGTAATTTAAAATTTTTGTGGGAGTTTTACATTTTTTTAAAAAATAAGTGATTTTATAATATTATAAAAATATATATAAGGTACGAATAAAAAAATTATAAAATTATATTATTATTTTAAATACAAACAAAGAGTTTTGCACAGCAACAATATATAAACTTATGTTCTCTTTGTATATTTTGCTATGGAAATCATTTTTTAGCAATACACATCTGAGACAAGCGTGGTGTTTTGAAGGGTATACGCGGGTATACGATGTATACCCGTGAACCATTATGGTGATTTAGCGTATACTTTATAAAAGTACAACCAATACGCACGTATACGCTCGTATACCTACTTCATAAATAGAAAAAAAATCCATAGGAAATACATTTATTTTTAGAAAATTTGTTATTGGTAGGTTAATAATAACATTGATAATTGATTATTATTCATAGCTATCGATTGTTGTCTTACTATATTCATTAGGTATCAAATTATAACATCTACTAGCGGCCGTTGACGTTTCTATACAAGAATATACTAGATAGTATGGCCAATGATTAAATAAACATACATAGATAGCCCACGCAATGATAAATATTGGAAACGCCTAAAATGTCTCAAATGGAGCCAGAATTGTAGTAGTAATAGATTCCTGATAACCGAATGCGTTGGCGTTTCATATAAACATTTGCAATCTTCAATTTACTGTTATCCGTGATCAATGTTGATGCATTGCTGATAAACTATAATCAATTTTAACCGTTGTCATTTATTCCTTTTTATTAAGTATAGGTTCTGTTAAAGTTAATTGTATAATATACAATATAATATATTATATTTTATATGTTTTGTAGTTATCTATTTGACTATTACATGATTATGCTTTTATTTTACAATAATTGTAAATAAAAAAAATAAATATAATAATATTTTATTATATTTTTTGCCTTTAAAATCGGTAAATTATTAAATTTTCCATAGAAGCTGTTAAATACTTAGATAAATCAAGAAGTCATATGGTATAAAATTAATACACATTTTTTTTTTTTTTATATTAAAGTTTATACTTGTGAACATGAGATCCAGAAAAGACTTGAATACTCGCGAGCGAAGCGAACGTCTTTTTAAGTGATAAAATCTGATAAGTCTTGATCCTAATGAATACACAATAGTCATTGTCATAAATCCTTAAATACGCGTATTTTTTTGCCAAAACACCACGGTCTGTATTTTTAATAGTGCTTACAAGTTATATTTGTGTGCCCGCTGTTGAAAAGAACGATGTTCCGTCCACGAGTCCGGGCGGCAGCAACGGTAAACGACGAATCGTTTCGCTTCGACAATCGCGTCGAGCAAACGTACAACACTTTCGCTGACAGATAGCGGTGTTGGTAACGTAAACTCTCGCTTGTAAAGGTTTCCCAGTCGACCGCTGGTATATATACCAACGGAACGTCACCAATACGTTCGGGGATGCGAGTGGCAACGTACGTCAAACCGGCCGCACGGCCGAACCCGTGGTGCACGTACGGACCGGATCACCGTCGATGCGACCTCATGTTCACCCCCCGCCCCATCCTCACCTACCGTTTCGCTTGTCGTACGTGTTTCACAACAACGGAGCGTCGTCAGCGGTGTTGAGAAGGAAGTGTGTGTTCACGTGGAATGTCGTAACCGCGCGCGGCGCGAAAGATCCATGGACTCGTGACTTCTGCAATCGATCGGATGTCCGCACGTGTCCCTTGGGAAATTCTCCCTCAGTCGAAGAAAAATATAAAAACTACGTGACGCCGGAATAAACTGACGTCACACTTCCTCACCCTCTCGTGCGGGAACGGTATTCACGGCGTCGTCGACCGACGACCCCCCAACCTGTGAGAGGGTGTTTATTACGCGTACGTTGTCCACACCACGTGGCAATAACAACAACCACACCACCACCACCAACCATCCCCAACAAAAATTTTTGCAATTTTTTCAACCATCAAGATAAATTTTTTTCGGCCCGAGTCGCTACGGTCGTGTTGACGTTTCCCATCAATCGATTTTCCCACGGTCTTCTGCTACGATAAACACCTTACAAAAGGTTCGTAAGTACTCGTGTCTGTTGTGGTGCCACTGGATCGTTCAACCATCGTGGTTGTGTCCATCGGCTGTCCTCGTGGTCAATTTCGTCGGCACCAACTCTTTGTCGATGCGTGAACGTCTCTGTGTTCATCCCGTTTTGCAGTCCCCGCTTCATTCCCTGTTTTTCTGTCGTTTAATGTCACTTATCGGCGGTATTCGTGTGGTTTAATATTCGTCTTAGTCCTTTGTTGGTGCTGCAACGGGATTTGGAAATTTTTGAGTATCGAAACCCATGTACAATTTTAAATATACAAACCGATTTTAAAAACAATATTTTATAATAAATAATAACTGAAAAAAAATGTTTACTTCTTAACAACATTATCTCTAATAATAACTTATTTTAACCTCTTCTTTTAAATTTAATTATCTCTTTATAAAACGACAAATTTTTCTCAATGAATTCCTTCCTTTATTTTTTCATATTCATTTGCGTTTTTATGACGTTGTGATTTACCTGACAAGACATTTTTTATTTATAATATACTCGAATTTTCCATAGTAAAATATTAACCAACAAAATCCCCGAATCGCCTATGCGGTTAATCTCAATTCATATTTGGAGCCGTACGTTAGCTGAAAATTCGGCAGTCGAATTGCGAAGTTAGTGATGTTATACAAGTGCGTGATGATTTATAATTTGTTAAGTTTGCGCCAATATGTTCTATAGAAATGGATCGTTCCTTTTCAAAGTATAAAAATATTCTGGGCGACAACAGGAGGTCATTCAAATTTTCCAGCTTAAGAAAATATCTAATTGGTCAATATAATGCTCAAGGAGAGTTTAAGTTAGTACTATATTTATTAAAAATATATAAAGATATATTAAATTTAAAAGTTGTTATTCTAATCAAATATTAAATTTTTGTTTTAGATTAAACTCAAAGTATGAACTATACAAAGCGGAGAACAATAAATATTATTTGTTTACTTATCTTACTTCAACAAGGTTTTTTCTCTATAAATTATAATTTATAATGTTGTAGGTGCTATGAAGAAATTAAACTAAAATAATTTTATTAAAACTTCAATTTTTTTTTTAATGCATATTTTAGCAATACATTAAGTGATTTTTTTGGGATATAACTGCATGCATATTTAAAAGTTTTTATGGGCATGAAGTGACTAGCTCTAACATATACGATGTTAATACAATTGTGACTGATTATGAAAAAATAAAATGTATACCTATATTATTTATTTATTTATTTTTATAACATTAAATATTATATAAACTATTTCTTAGTTTGTATATTTAAAGCAATACATTTTTCTTTACACATACTCGTAAGTCTTATGATGCGCCAGTTTACTGCTAGTTAACACACCTACTTAATTATTTTTGACTTGTTTTCTTCGTAGTTGATAATTCTACGGTTATTTTACCACAACATATTTATTTTTATAACAACATGTTTTTCACTATGCAAATGTCTAACAATGTTAATGTTACTCGTAATGAGACTGGTAGTGTTTTCGAGAATTTATTAGTTTGCTCAGACAATTTTTTCCATTGCACAAAATAGTGGTGTACTTACAAAAAATTGCAATTTTAAATTCGAATGCTACAATTTATCGTATTTTGAAAACGATTCACTCATAAAAAAATCAATTCACGGGCACTCTCTTTGCAAGTATACATTTCATTCTTTACGGGATTTTTTTTTAAAACAATAATTATTCAATTCAATTTCATTTGAATATAAGATAACATGGGTTTTCAAGTTTTTAAATAATTTTAATACGAACGAATAGTTGCTTATACATCTAAACAGTGATCGTTAATCATAAAAAACAATATACACTATGTTTATGATAGTTTATTTAATATGTTACTAGTTACAACGTTGTATAATATGATGCTATACATATTTTTTGGTTAAAACTACTGTTACATTATAGTTAACGTATATGAAGCCAATATATGAGTAAACATTAAAATTAAAGTAATGTATTATGATATTGATAATTGGACAAGAACCACATATCAAAGACTACGTGTAAATAACACGATTAACTGTGTGTCTAACCGTGTCGGCTGTGCGGTTAAAATTACGATTGAATACCAATAATGTAACAGTTGATCGTTGGAAATAGAAATATGAAATATTTTTTACGGCGAAATCGCTATTATAGCTCATATACTTCGTTAAGACTGCATTGACTCTACGGCGGTGGATCCACGGTTAGCGCTTGAGGTGGGCAAAGGAAAGGGTGGAAAAGGATAAGATAACGTCCTCCCCCTCGAAGCCTTGATCAACTTAGATCTTTAATCCTGTAGTCATGCGAAATTGAATGTTTTAACCGTCCCTCTAACTGTCCTCCATGTCTTTTGAAAGATCCAACTCCGCGGATTCCATCGATCCGTCGGTTTCCTATGTATACTCACTGTATTCGGTCGTTTCGCGTGTGGTCGTGTGATGTCATGGTGACGGGATACGAAGATAGTGATGACAATAATAATAATATTAATAATAATAATAATAATAATAATAATAGTAATAATAATAGTAATAGTAATAATAATAGTAATGATAATAATATTAATATTAATAATAATATTAATGATCATGTTGTGTCGTGGTGTGCGGGCGGAGTTCAACGGCGGCGGCGGTGATCGTAAGCGGATGGCGCGCCGCGGTCGGCAGCCGCACCGGCGGACCGGCCGAACCGGACCTCCAGCCCGTCCACGTCCACATCGTAGTGGCCCCGTGGGATCTTGTTGTCGCCGGGCGTGTACACTTCGCCGCGACCGAACCGGATGAAGTTGGAGTCGCGACGTCCGAACCGTATGAAGTTGGAGTCGACGCGGCGTCCAACCGCTGCGGCCGGGTCCCGGCGCTTGGCCGCCGCGGCGAAAGCGGCCCCGGCCACCGGCGACGTCCAGCAGTCGAACGCCCGGCCGAAACGCATGAAGTTCTTGTCCATGGCGCTGCGCCTGGTCAACGGGTCCACCGGCCGCAGCCCGAACCGTTTGTCCGCCATGGCGTCTCCACCGTCGGCGGCCAGCGCGGCCAACGTCAGCGTCACCGGCAATAGGCACAACATCATTTCACCTGAAACGTGGTCGGGTTAGGTTATTACCGCACACGTTTCATTGGACACGCGCACCGGTCAGGTTTTGGCGCTTTTCGGTCGGTTAGGAATTTAACCACACAATGTTTTCGAATACGTCCTATCTGCCCGTCCATATTGTACAAGGCAACCCTGGATGACGACCGAAACGCAAATGGCATGGCACTTTATTTGCACGATGAAGTCTAAAAGGATTGTATCGGGGGAAGGGGGGTCTGAATGATTATTAGTGAGAAATTTGCTTACACAGAAACTCTAAAATTATCAATTCGATCAAAAACACGTAAACAATTGAATATAATATGTAATATATGAAACATTAAGTCTTACATTTAGTCTTTAAGTCAACAACTCTTTTACATGGAAAAAGTTTTGAAATATAATTCATGTTCTATAGAAGAAGAATTATATATATTTTTATTTATTTATTTATTATATGTTCTATAGAAGAAAGCTAATTTTCCTATCTTCGTCAGAATATTACTGTTAGAAATGAATATTATTTTTTGAAGCGTTTATCTATTACTACACTATTTGTTGTGGCATAATTTTTAATTTGTGCACATTTAACTGTAAACAAGGGATATATAAATTAATAAACATTGGCTATATATGAATGCAAATATTGATGAGGGGGTGTTAAAATATATTTCGTAGTTCAAAAAAAGTGCCGTAATCCTTTTTTCGTATTTTATGTGTCTTTAATACATGATCATCCAATTATATTAACTACTAAAAATTTGCCAAAATATTAAATGTATAGTGTTTAATTTTTACATTTAAATTTACATTTACATATGTATTGAAAATGTTCATTTATTTTTGAGGTTAAACTGTGTAGGGATGTATGTCTATGTACCGATTTATAAATAGGTTCACATTTTTAAAGCGCTCAATAGATCAAAAATCTACGTGTGATGTCACATGTACCACTTCAACGCTCAGACACGATTAGTTATACAGTACGAATGGTTAGGATAAGTTAGGTTAGTTTCAATCAATCAATAACATTATGCTAGAACACGCATTGATGCGCGCGGTGCAAATATTATTGTGTACAACGATTATAATATAAATGTGTCAATAATATTTTTATCGGCGTATTAATTGGGATTTTTTCAATGTTAAAAGATACGGGCGTATTAAGCGGGGTTACGTATTAAACAGGAGTTTACTATAAGTTTTTTTTTCAATGTGAAAGACCTATAGGTGTAAGGGACCAGAAGAAATCCATGTGTTAGCGGGGTTGCGTATAGAGCGGAATGGTGTAAACGGAAAGGTCTCAACGAGGTTTTAATTGTACTTTCCCAAGCCGTATTTTTTACAATCGATCAAAAATGTCTCTATTAATTACATTAAAAACGGTTTATTCCCAAACTCATAATTCTATTTGCATTTCACATTATAATACAGTGACACAACTGGGGGTGTGGTTGAGAGTTGTTACCCTCTTCTCCGAAATATGTAGTTTAAAGATCTAACCCTATTTTCCCTACCAAACACCTCCCAAAATTGAATTATTTTTAAATATATACCCCCATCCCACACGAAAATAAATCCTGGTTTTGCCACTTTTATAACCAATTAAAATCAAATATTATCAGTGTTGGGGAAGATAACCAATATTTTTATCTAAATTAAAGATAAAGATAATGACTAAAGGCTTATCTAAGATGAGGATAAAAGATAATCATTCAGTTATCTAGATGAAATAAAAAGATAAAAGAGAATTATTTAATATAACATTAATATAACATTAACACGTTAACATAACATTTAAAGTCTGACTTTTGGCTATATTTTTAAAATAACTTTTATTTAATGCCTTAAGGTTTGATGGAATATTATTATTATTTTTAAAAGTAAATAGGTAAATAAATGATTAACAGATGTAGATTAATTTTAATTATTATTTATTATACCTACCTATATTTTAATATCTGTACAAGTAGTGATTACTAAGTGGCCTTACATTATTCATAATTTTTTAACTAAATTTAATTTGGTTATATAAGTTAACATTAAGTTGTATGAAGATAATATAAGTATATAACATTTGGTTGAACTAGAACATTTTTTTAATGTATTAATTTAAATTTTAAAATACATATAAATGTCACAGTTCACATATTTCAATTATTATTGTATGACAAATGAAAAACGGCTAAATAAAATAATAAAATCTTATTTTAATAAAAAAAAAAGAACCACTTTGCTTAATTTAACATCTATTATCTATCGACAGAAAAAATGCAAAAAGATAAGTACAAGATAAAGATACTTTTGATTTATCTAGATAAAAGATGAACGATAATTTGGACGTTATCTAGATTATATTTTGGATAATTTTTTTTAGATAGTCCCAACATTGATCATTACATAGTTATAAAAACAAAATAGTTAATGTATTAAGATTTTATTTGGCATTTTAAAATTTTGCAATGATTTTCACGTTTCTAAAATCTTATAATATACTTACTTAAATCTTAAAAATAAATGTCTTAATATTTGTATTATGAATTTATTTTTATAAATCGAGAATTAAATAAATTTTTCGTCGATTGTTGTTAATTAATATTTTATTTTGAAATGTTCATCATAACATTATATAAAAAAATATTTCTTAAACTATATTTAAGAATATTTATTGTACTGTTGTTCTTAAATGATGATTTTAATATACTTATAATAATAAATATGTAACCATCTAAGTGAATTATTATTTTTTTAACAATTAAACTATTTTATAATGTAATTTAAGAATTGTGTTTGGATTTTTTTGTTAGTTTTACCATTTTTAGAACTTTTATACACTAGACGTGACATAAATTCCAACTATTACGAGAACAGTTTATAGCACTTTATGTTTACTTTTGAGTTTTTCTCTAAAAGCGTTTTTTTGTAAAAATATGCTTTGAAAAGTGCAACTTCAATTTCAAGAGGCGTTATTTTTTAGTGGATTCAAAGAATATTATTTAATATAATAATAATCAATGTGTTAAAAAATTACGTTAACATTGATCAGTAAGTCGAAGAGAAACTGAAATATGTTAAAAAGTTTCCTAAGCATTTTTTTTATACAAAAAACGTATGAAATGTTACAATATATATATAAATGTATAAGAATATTATGCAGTTTATAACAATTTATTATTTTAAGCCCACATTATTGTCGGTTGGTAAACTTTAAATAGGGTCAGGTGTTGATTATCTCTTTATATTATTATAACTTATTTTCACGAAGTATAGTACTATATTTATCAAAATTCTGCTGTTGGCGTGTCAACGATTTTTATACAATCGTAAAATATATATTTAATTTTTATTTTCTACATAGAGTTTTAAGTGTAAAATGTTAACCATTAAATCGTACTTTTTATTTCAATCCATTTTGATAACTTTGAAAACAAATTCAATTTTAGTTAAAAAGTATATATTGTGATTATTGGTATTTCTTCAATAGATTCTTCGACACTTTTTTCAAAATATGTTTAACGTTAAGATTACTAAACGTCATATTAATAATTTACTATTCAACACATTATAATCAATTATTCTTAATCTATTTAACATTTTCATATACTTTAATTACACCGATCTGAGTACGAATGAAAGTTAATGCGTAAACGAATATACTCATAATTACAATAATACGTTTTTCTATCGAGTTAACCTTATTCTCATTTTAACACTTAAATTTACTCACAAAAATGCCAAAGCATAGGTAATTATAAAACAACAAATTGTTTGTGCGCTATAGACGTATCTGTTTTAACTGTTCACAGTTTCAGCAAATGAAAATTTAGAGGATAAATATGATTGAGGCAGTAGATCAGAATAAATGCACGTTTATCATAACGAAAATAGAAAAATCTGCATTACATCAATATATTTACAAAATGCATTTCATGTAATAATTATCGAATATCGTAAGCGTATTTTCTTGTGAAGGTTATCTTTATGTTTTTTTTTTTTTATTAGTAATAGACCGAGGTAACACCGCGTTTTTATAAAAAAAAAAAAATCAAATATTTAATTTAAAAAAAAATGCTATAATTCTATTAAGATTTACGAGGTTTTTTTTTCCAAATTCAACAACTAACTTGGTTTTAGTAATAATATTTTGTTCTCTTGATACCCATCCTGTTCTGAAACGATTTAAATAGTGTTGCATTTATTACCATTAAGAAAAGTTTTTTAAGTAATACAGAAAAACGAGAGTTTCTTTTAGGCGGTCCCGCGTTACTCGAAAGTAATCACAAGTGTAGAGATGATTGACTATTCCGATTAATTGCACGATCTTTGAAGTAACCTCGCACCACCAATTGGAAGTAGATCCGAGTATGAGCCACTACGAGTGTTTAAAAATTTTAGTGATTACCGAGTCACGTGTTTCACATTCATCGGTTTACTATCTGACTATTTTCGATCGTTCTTGATTGTTCCCAGTGCAGCTTGGCTCATTTTGACTCGGAACAATTCTTCACCTTCTGGGCGATCGACTACGAGTGCCATCGCGAGTGCACAGCTATAGCAAATGTTTAGTCCCACATCGCCCGTAAATGTCAACGATTAATTTAATTGTGTATTAATCGTGTATACCTGCGAGTAGTGCATGACCTTTCGGCGAAAGTATTTCAAGCGTTACCAATGAAACAAAAATATAGTTTTCCAAACTTTGTTGTTTTTTTATTGATCTTAATTACATCGCCATTAGTTATTAGTTAAAGTTTTGTTTACATAAGTTTACAATTAAATTAAGTTTATGTTTACATAAGGTTATATAACTATATTTAAACTACATTGTGTAGTATGAACTATTATAAAATTAAGGATCATAACAGATTAAACAAATAACAATAGATTTCTTAATGGCTTAACAGTATAAGATTTAGCCATTTATTTCTTCGTATCTATTTTAATCAGATTAGCTGATCCGGCGCGCACCCTGACGCGAACCACCTGTACGATAATGGAACGT